GGGCCACATGATCCCTAAGGCCCCGAACTCCCCTTAGACTGGCGTTTCTAAAGGGGAGTTTCTCACAGTGGTGCTGGGTGATTTTAATGCATACGTTAGTCAAGTATAACGCGAAACCAGTATGCTTTCTGCAATGCAGCGTATGGTGGAGATGCCACAATAACCACTGTTAATGCTCAGATGCAAAAGGCATTGGTTTTGAGACCGTGCTGAAACCTTATCAGAAGCTTTTTCGCCGGATAGATGTCCTAGGAATTTCTTATTCTAAGCAGCTGTTTTACCCAGTAAATGGGTGGATACTGCCCCGCTGGAAGCTCCTCGTTATTTGACATATCTGAGAACTCTCCCTTCAACTGTGCCCACGTGCGATGCTCCTCTGGTGTTAGCTCGATCAATTTATTCAAATCACGGTGTTCTTAAGACTGTCATAACGAAATGCATGCATATCTCCGTCGCTACCGGATGCGCGTCTGCATTGCGCTGGACTCTCCCTGCGCCTTTCTGCTCATAACACTGATTGTGTAGAGGACGCAAATGCTATTGAAAGCGATGATAAGATAATTCTCCTCGCTTCTCGAGAAATAGACATCAGTGGTGTCTACTGGAACCTGCACGCGCCCCCTCCAGTAGGCCATTCATTGCAGGCCTAAGATTAATCGTAGTGAACTGCTCCAAACTAAAAATCTCGTATCATGGTGATATGACCTGCTTCTGAATTATGAGTGGAACCGACTTGCGTGCTCTGTCTGCCACCGGCGAAGCGTCGTCACATCGACTCAGCCACCGAATACACAGGTAGGTTGCATATCCTTGCCGGATTCAAACACTGCTTGCAACTATTTAGCATTGATAAGAAATTTTCTAGGCAAAGATATGGCTTGAGAATGTCCAGAAAGTGGGGCCGTGGCGGGTTGTAGGGAGAGGAGGCACCCGTCATGATTCGCACTTCCTGCTGCAACCCTTTCCACAGCGGTGCCCAACACCCAGAAATGAGCAAACCCGTTTCCAATGCATGCGCCAGTACTGAAATCAATCGTCCAGAAGTACACCGACGGACTTACCAACCTTTTGGAGGCTCTGCGAAGTAAATACATGCAGATGATGAATTCCGCTCTGTGCTAGGAAGAGGAAAAGTATCTGATGATTCTTGTGCTAAAGTTGGAGTCGGGCCTGTTAATAGTGATTCTTTGCTTCTCTAGCGCCATTTGTCACTGGAGTGGGCCGCAGTGAGGAGCGGGCTGATGGTGTAGGGGTATCACGTTTGCTTTGCATGCAAAAGGTCCGGGGTTCAATTCCCCGTCAGTCNGCTGATGGTGTAGGGGTATCACGTTTGCTTTGCATGCAAAAGGTCCGGGGTTCAATTCCCCGTCAGTCCACTGTTCTGGCGCGCTGCATTTTGCTTTTCTCTTAACCGAGTGTCCCTGTATAGAGATGCTCCCAGTAGATACACCTGATGAAGTCCGTGTTTCAGATTTCTTTCTGGTCGGGCCAATGCCCGTGAGCTCCTGTGGAGTTCCACATTCCACCTCGGGTTTAGGGTTTAGGGTTTAGGGTTTAGGGTTGAAACGTTCTTCAGCATACGCGTTGATATATGGGAGAACCCGCGGCCGTTTGAGTTTTTGTCTCCAGTGTTCCGCACTGCCTGTATAGACGCCTTCTACATGAGCTACACACATGAGTTGCTCTTGAGCAATGCAAACGCATCAAGCTCTCCCATCAACGCCTTTTTTGCTTTCTTATTCTCTTAAAACAGCTACTACTTCCTGAATACACAGGAATCGCCTGCCGTAGTTACCCAGGATCAAGTGATCCGGCATGTTAGCAGGCAGTGTTTTGTGCCACTCCCCTCTGTCACTTGCTAGCTCGGTACAGCGAAGGACGAACTTTTTACCTTCTTGCATATTTAAGTGTTGGACATGGATTCCTGCACCTGGCGCGAATCGGCGACGCGCGTCAGTGCCGGCCGCTCTTCTACTGGAATGCCCACAGTAGGATGCCTTTCCCCATCTATGAACGCTGCCGGAGTAGTTGCGGGGGATCAGATGAGCCACGCGATCGCTTAGCTATAAGTCAGCTACGTGCTCGTGCAAAAAGCAGCAGCTGCAGCAGCGAATACATGGGATATCCTCAGCAGTGACTCTATCCGTCACTTCACCATTTATTTTAGATGTTTCATGGGTGAAATGCCATAACGGATGCCTTCGCGCTACATACATACTTAAATTTTTCATGCTGCTTGGAATAGGAGAGCATTCAATGTTCGGGGAAACGATAAAGGGGAGGTGCAGCAGGAGCCGTCAAAGGCGGTGTATCCATATTCGTGTGAATTTTGGCTACTAAAGGCCGAATGAATGTTCATTAATTACCTACGGTGTTGTTCTATGAATAAGAAGGGAGCTTGCGCATGTGTGCGTGCTGGGCTACTGTACTGTAAGAGTTTCCACAGAGACTATTGCCTAAATGTAGTTGCGAGTGCTCCAGCCACCCGGCACAGCGGAGCATAACGAGAGCCCTTGACCTTAGGCACGGGCTGTGGTAAGCTGGAAAGAGACGAAATCATTAAGATAGATGCACCAAAACAATTTGATGAGTTTCCTCGGCTCTTCAGGAAGTTTGGCTGCAGAGGTATACGGGCTTGGGCCCGTGGGCCGGTCTGGCGTAAGCTCCAGCGTTTCTGCGGCAACACTTGTACAAGGCAAAGCCAGACGCATGGGCGGCCGGACCCCCTCAAGCTGCAAGCACTTACACTGTAGGCAATAGTTGAATACCTACTTCGCGCTCAGTGGCCAGCCTGCATCCAAGTAGAAATATGTGTAGCGAATTAAACAGAGCGGGCTACACGGGGCCTCGGTTGGAGGCGAGATACCGATTGGTCTGTCTGAGACTGCCATTACCAGGCCTTCTGCAGAAAGTTAGCACTGCAGGAAGTATCGTTCCAGCTTCCGGAGTGGCTATTCTATATACGTACAGCGCAGCGTGTACGCCAAGGGTCACCTAAACTGAGCAATTTTTTGCTGTCTACGGCTTAACAGTGTGTGTCGCCTCAAAAGGTGCTAATAGGAACCACTCCTTATGCCTCAGCTGGTGATTCACTGGCGAGGTTTTGAGTATCATGCACAGAAGTAAAGAAACAGAGCAAGCGGCGCTAGCCGCTGGCTTGGCTACTGCTGTCGTCACTGCAGTGTATGCTGAACCGAACCGAGTGAGTAAGAGGGCTGGGTAAAAGGGTTGTAATGTTAGATTCCTCCTTAACTAATACTAAAAATAAAGTAGGAAAATGAAGAGAGTTGTATATTTCTGCTGTTGCAACAGAAAGTGCACAGACACCCCAACCGCCTGCTTGTTCACCGGCTGACCGGCGGGACGGCGGCAGCTGCACAGCCCTGGGCGATCGTAGTCGATATATTCAGCTTTCCATCTATATTAACCTTCTTTAATAATATTCAAGTTGAATTCTTGAAAATAACTGAAAGCAGCTTCATGTTTGTTGGGTTATGCGCTTGTTGAGCTGCTGCTCATACACCGTACGTGAGCTTGTTTTTTTGTTCATCAGTGGCGGCAGCGAAACTTGTGGGAATCCTTTCTTTTTTTTCTAGTATTTTCATCATTTTATATTGTTTACTTTTGCATGCAAATATAAAGATGATGATGGATGCATACGGCGCCGCTGACGCCGTTCAGAACGCCCCCTCTTCTTCTGCATTAGATGACTTCTACGCCAGCGACGCGCCGCAGCACCACATGTTTCCGGCCTCCTGCGACACCTCGACGCAGCAGAGTCAAGCGGATCAGCTCAGCTCTCCTCCCCCGCCAGCAGAGACCAGAGCCACCGTTTGCCTGGGCGGCGCCCCGCCCTCACCCTCTCAGCTCAGCGGAACCCTCGACAGCCACAAAACCCCTGGCGGTGCTAAGTTCGCTGTTTCTCAGGTCCGTGTTACTCCTTATAGCTGCTTCTTTGATTCAACCGGCTGCAGAGCCAGCAGCAGCAGCAGCAGCAGCTGCTGCTGCTGCTGCTGCGGCTCGCTGGTGCTGCTAGCAAGCGGTACCTGCTGCACTGTGTCTGTTGGGGGTTAGAGCTGCAGGCGCAGCGAGTTGTTTGTGTGAGGCCGATAGGCTGTGCATAAGCAGCCGTTAGTAGTTTTTTTTTTCTTAGAGTGTGGGTGTGTGATGATGAATTCTTATCGTTTGTTTTTCTAGGGTTTATTAGGGTTTATTAGGGTTTATTAGGGTTTATTAGGGTTTATATGTGTTGTTTTTTTCAGGTTCATGGGGTGTATCTTACACTGCATCGTTTGGTGCTGAGTCGATGCGCTCCATGGGCGGAGTTTTTTTGTGCTTCTTCTTTTCAGCGGCCCGGCAACGGTGCTGCTGCAGTTGATAGAATAGAGAGAAACATTCGTTATTTCACAACAAATTATATTTGTATCTGCTGCTCTTTGGGGCTTGCATGCGCTCTCCTCAATCCTGCGCTGCTAGGCGTCGCGGGACTATGCGGGGCACTCTGCTCCTATGCATCCTTCAAGGGAGAAGTACAGGTATGCTGCTGCTGCTGCTGCTGCTGCTGCTGATGCTGCTGCTGCTGCTGCTGCTGATGCTGCTGCTGCTGATGATGATGATGATGATGGTGCAGAAGGGAGATGCATTCTGCTGCTGCTGCTGCTGATGCTGCTGCTGCTGCTGCTGCTGCTATGTTATTATTATTGTTACTGTTATTAATATTTTTAATTTTAATTTTTTTTTTTTTTGCTTTTGTTATTCTTTTTCTTTACTATTATTTTTTTTCTTACTATCATCATGATCGTTATTATTATATAAAAAAAATAAAAAAATAAAATAAAAACAAAAAAATAAAAAAATAAAATAATTATATTGTTGTTTGTGTGTACGTACAGATAGGAGACACATCGATTCCTCGTAAGAATTTTCAGCGCGGTGTATGTGCAGCTGGTATTTGTTTGTCTCTGCTGCTAGCAGGCAGCGCAGTAGTAATGTTATTTTTTATTTGTTTTTTATTTATTATTATTCATGGTGCTCTACATAAAGGGGTTTCTTATCAATCAATTGCTCAGAAACAAGAAACACAGCAACAACCTGATCTAGGGGTTTAGTTTATATATATATATATATATATATATATATATATATATATATATATATATATATATGTATATATATGTATATATATGTATATATATATTACAATACAACAACCCTGGTCCTGCTGCAGCAGAAGCAGCAGCAGCAGCTGCTGCTGCTGCAGCAACAGCAGCAGCAGCAGCAGCAGCAGCAAACAGAAGTATATATGCAGGGGAACTTTCACAGGCGCTTTTTTGTATAGCAAAAGCCAAA